GTGTGTTTGTGTGTGTGTGTGTGTGTGTGTGTGTGTGTGTGTGTGTGTGTCAAATGGCTCTCAGTACTCTTGTACTTCAATAGTGTACTGTATACTATTCCCGCGATTTGTAATTATATATAACTATATGTTCTTTATTCTTACGTGAATCGTATAAATCCAGAGAGCATGTGTGTGTATATGTATCTGGTTTTTTCATTATATAAGGTAATATCTAACGCAATTAAGTTGATACATATATTTTTTTAAATTTATATTCCTAATATTGAGTGATCACAACTAGTAGTAGATATTGTACAAGTAATTATGTTAAACAATAATTTAGATTAATTATATTATATTAAACAAGTTTATAGTTTTCATTTTATGAAATAATTTTATACTTTTTAAAACGTTAAAATTATCCGTTTTTATGTTTATTGTTTTTTTGATTACACACACACACACACACCACACACTACACACACGCACACACACACACACACACATATGCTCTCTGAATTTATACGATTCACGTAAGAATAAAGAACATATAGTTATATATAATTGCAAATCGCAGGAATAGTGCACAGTACACTATTGCAGTTTTAAGTACTAGAGTATCGAGAGCCATTTGATATGAAGTGTACAATTGTCACACTATTGTCACTATTGTCATAATTGTCACTATTGAAACGAAAATAATTATATTATTCCATTTTGACCATTCTTCCTCTATTACTGGAATAAACCTGATCATTTTATGAACAGCAGACTTGATGATATAATCTGTGATACTGATTATTAATCAATTGTATAGTTTTTTTATTTATTTTATGTTATGTTTTCGCTCAGTAAATGGGTTCAGATTTTTTGTATCTACATGATACGTAACTCATAATCAGTAACTACAAGAAAAGCGTTACATCTTGGTTGGTATCTCTAGTTTTACCCTTCAGTTACTAGACAAAAGTTAATATAACTATCCAATAATTGCTCGAAAACTGCTTAAATTTTCTCCAGGGATGCTATGTACATAATGCTGTGTGTACAAATGCATAAGCTAGCAGTCTCATAAAATGAATGTTAAAAGAACGCCCGGAAAACAAGATGGATTTATAATACCTTAAAGTTGAATTCTTCCGCTGCCAACGAGCCACTATCAAAATCGAAACCGACAGAGTGAATATCGACGTTGTTCAACGACGTTGCCAGTTCGTGCGAGTAAAAATTTATTCCAAGGAAATCTGAGGCGCCGCGCACGTCATGAATCTGCTCCTGCGTGAAGCTCGGCATACGCGACATGGAAAATCCCTGTATGCGACTGTGATTAGCTATGGTTTCCTTCATTATAGCTGTGTAGTCACCGGTGCTACTGAAGACTGGATGCAACAGCCAACCGAGAAACCACTGATAGTCTCTTTCCGCAGTGGATATGTCGTCTGGCGATGACGGATCCGCTGGTTGGGCGTATTGGAAATAGATAGAGTATCCTATCTTACCTACAGCCGGTCACAAATTTGATTAGTTAAATACGCATAATATTATTTTTATATTCTCTTCGATATTTTTTTATATTTAATATTTTTTATGTATTTTCTTTCGACGAACACAGACATGCGTTGTCCTAAAAATCTCAAAACATTCGCGAAATAGGATAATTCCTCGGAAAATTATAATCCTAAAAATTATATTACGAGGACAATCGCTAGAAATATACTTTTCTCAAAATATTGGAAATATGCAATTGAAGAATTGCAATACTAAAATCACTATAACGAGATAACGTACCAGAAATACAGTTTTCCTAAAATAATACAACTATAATAAATAATAATAATTTTTAAATACATTGTCTCGTGTTGTATAGACTTCTATTACTTCAAGAAAATTATATTTTAGGAGATAATTTTGATACTCAGATTTTGAGATTACGACTTTTCGGGAAAATGTTCCAATTGTTAAATTTCATTTATTTTCATGTTTCCCCACGCTATTAAATAATTTCTCTCAGTACAGGACATTGCATGTCCAGTGTATTTGTTAGACTCCTCACCCTTCTGACTGGGACGAAATTCACGATCATACATATGATAGACTCTCGCTTGAGCAAGCAGGAAGTGATGTCCGCAAATGTAATCCGCGATTCCTGATAATTGCAAAAGCGGAATCATAATGTCGCCGTAACCACCAGCACATAGCAAATTTGGGTCATTAACTGTGATCCAATGTTTCACCTGCGTAACATTTGTCGTTATATTTATCGTATTTTATTATATTTTTATTTGATAATCATTTTCACACAGCGTTAATAGCAAAATATTATGGATTTATATGATGTAACGCATGCAAAACACAGCTTATACAAACATAGGTTACGTTGAGAGAATTTAACAATAAAATTAACAAAAATTTAACAATAAAATTTAACAATAAAAATTAGAGTATAATTTTGTAATCAAAGAATATATTGACAATCTGTCTTATTTTATTATCCTTTCATTATCTGTCATATATGCTATTTACATTTTAGGAATTGAAATCTACTGCTAAAAAATGTACTATACCGAGAGAAAAAAAACTTAAAAAACAAATTTTAACAAACAATATTTCTTGGTGGATTATATAATAATTTACTTATAAAAATCTGAACTCTCTTTTATTTAAATAGAATAAATATAATTAAGAATGAAAAGCTGCGCGATTTCAATCATCTAAAAAAAGTTTTCTATAAAAATATGTAAAAATCTAATATATTAAGGTAAATGTCTCAGTAACTGAACTTTGTTCAAATAATTAAAACATTAATAATATATTTGTATTTAATGTTTCTAAGAAAAAAAAGAAAGAAAGAGAAGGGGAGAGAGAGAGTCTTTGAAGTGTTAAAACATATTTTTTTATGCCAATTTGTAATATTATTTAATAATCACTGAGTCTGTATTATTCGGTAATTAGGACATGATTCATTTTTTAATTCAATTATTAGTATAACCGACATTATCTAATATTTCATTAAAATTATGGTTAGTATTTATTGACTGTTTTATTTTCTATTATTTTTAGATCGTCAACAAACTAAAGTTTATATAAATATTAGTTTTGTTAATAATTCTATTAATTATTTATTAATAAAAATGTAAAACTGATCGTGCTTTCTTATTGATTCAATCATTAGAACATTTACCTTAGTATAAGTAAATATGTTATTAGTATCCACTGAATAAATATTTTTATTTGTAGATAAACTTAGTAGATAAGTTGTTATAGTAGATAGTTGTAGATAAATAAAGTATTTTTTCTCTCAGTATATGTCTTCTTTTGTAAAAGAAATTCTCTTTATCGACAAAAATATATTCTTACATACTTGTAAAAGTATGCAGTATGCAGTAAAATTGAAAAGAATTTATATATAAAAAAATTATATTTTACATATATATATATATATATATATATATATATTCTCTGTATATAATAAAACAAATTCCGTACGGATGCACATGTTTATTAAATACGTATACGTACTTTATCGCCGAAAGTAGTGAAAACAAATCGAGCGTACTGCTCGAACCAGTCAATAAACAGAGGATTAGCTAAACCGCCCATTTTTTGCAGATTATATGGCAGGTCCATTTGAAGCAGCACAACCATAGGAATCATTCCGTTCGCCGCTATCTCGTCAAGTACATCGTTATAGAATCGTACACCGTCCTTACTCACGTGATTCGTAAAACCACTTGGTAAAAGTCTCGACCACGAAAAGGATAACTTGAACATTTGAGTCTGTAAAGTAAGAATCTTCGTGAAAATTGAGTTGAGTAATTAGTTCGATTGAGTAAAGACTTAAACACATTTGCTACCAGCATTATACATATGCGATGCACCAGTCTTTGATATCACATACGTGTGATATAATTTTTCATTCTCTGTCCACCCAAACAAATTAAATCCAAATTCAACAATAAAAATTAAATCTTTCTAGAAAACTGCAAATTAAAATTAAGTTTAATTTTACTAATCAAAATTGAATCTCTTTAAAATTACAAATCAAAATTCAACTTGAATTTGCTCATTAAAAGTCAATCTCTCTAAAATTACATGTTAAAAATAAGTTTAAAATGAATGGTTAAAATCTCTCTAGAATTAAAAATCAATATTAAATTCAACTTTAAATTTTAAATTTCAAGATCAAAAATATCATACATACAATTTTAAATCCAATATATATGTGTGTGATTAAATCTTTTTGGCATTGTTACATAAAAAAGAAACAGGGTGCATTTAACACGATTTAACACGGAATTATGCTTCTCGTGTACCATGTCTCATTGAATTAACGATTAAGATCAATATATCGCTTAGTCAGTGCCGTCCTTTATTCACGACGCGTATGTACGAATCGGATATTCTCCGTTCGCTTACAAACAGCAGCTGGAGGGTATTAAGAGATATTCATAACGCACGGATGCAAAGAGGATTTTGATGCTTACGCCGATGCTTCTTGCCAGACGTAGATCCTCTTTGTATTTATGATAAAAATCACACGCTACGTCCATGTTACTTCTATCCTCTATTAGTCCCGGATTTGCATGAATCATATGATCCCACACGGACTCTCCTTTGTCTACAGATTGTTTTCATATGTAAGAATCGACGTCCATACTTGCGTACAGGAACGCAAGCAGCACCTCTGACTACAATTGTCGCAAAGTATAGAACAGACTTTACGACAAGCGGCAGATGTCTGTTAAAACATTGACTGCCAAATATAAATTAGCTCGTGCGAATAGAATTCTGTTCCATGCGCCAATTACGAGTTAAGGGGATGCCATACTTAAAATCTTTGTCAACACTGAATTTTTCCGCAAAGTTTACAACGTATTGGTTGCATAGAATTACCAATTTTTTACACACTGAAAATACGTGCAATAATTAATTGGAACATTACTCAATATGTGACGAAAACGATAAAAAATTATAAAATTGACATCTGCTAGTTGATGTAAATATTTACTTGACACGAAAGTTCTGCTGTTTATACAATCAGCTGTTGTCCGCTTCGCTAAGGAACATTTCTATATCTTTACAACTAAATGTAGAAATTCAAAAATATAACGAAAAATTTGTAGAAATATTTCTATATATGCGTAATTATGTTTTCTGCCAGCATAATAAAACAAAGCAAAAATAAAATAATTTGATCATGTTAATGACAATCGTTTCTGTTATCGACACTTTTCGAATTCGTTATCTATTTCAGCATCTCCTAAACTCGCTCAAGGATGCTATTCACATGAATAAATATTTATTGAGTTTTGCTAAATTACAAATATTACTAATGAACATATTAATTTCTTCGGTGATGAATAATTTATTGTCAAAACAAATCGATTTTCTCGTTTTAAAGCAATATAAATATGACATCTATCAATCACATGATAAATTTTCTCTTTTCCTTTTGAGAAATTTTGTGGTCAATATTTATTCACAGTAATGCCCGTTTTACTTTTATGTCAACAATGTTTAAATTTAAAAAGAAAAATTAAGCGCATAATATACTGAACAATCATATATAACGAAATTTCATTTTTTTTTTTGTGGAATCTTTTATGGTGAGCATTTATTCACAATAATGCCTGTTTTATCTTTGTCGATATTTAAATAAAAAAAAATTGAATGTGTTATATTAAACAATTATATGACGAGATGTTTTTTCTTTTGCTATAGAATTTTATAGTGAATATGTTTTCATAGTAATATCTATTTCTTCGACACTTCAGTGAATTAAACAAGAAAAATTCAGAACGTATTTAAACGTATATA